TTTGACCCGACCCGGATTCTTCCCCGGCAGTCCCTAGTAAAACCCTCATAACATTTTGCTCTGATGTTGGTTTGATACGGGATTTTGTGTGTTGCAAACTAGACTCGTAGGCCTTCGATTTAATGGGTGATAGGCCTTCTAACTCTCTATATATTAGGAGAAAACATCCAATACATTTGACCCAAATTTTAGACAAATCTTTAAAAAAGTTCTTACGATAACTTTCGCCAATTTTTATTTTGCCACTTAACTTCAAAACCTGAGATACAACCCTTAAACATTTAAAATATGACATACCACATCATTTTTAATTTATTAATCACACTCCTTGTTTTTCAACGAAGATACAAGTTAATTTAGACGTTTTGGAAAGTCGGGGTGTTACATCCTTCCCCCGTTAGAAACATTCGTCCTCGAATGAAAAAAAATCTAAGTCACGCGGTTAAGTTTGTCCCTATCCAGGAAACTAAAATGCAAAAAGTATAACCTAGGCGTCTCACATGACGACTTAAATTGCTAAGCACTATAGCTCCGCAATAACAGTGCGAAGCAAATACACAACGACAACAACAATAATAATAAGCAACAATATAAAAAAATCAGATAGGTATCTTAACTCATTGCACCAATATAAACTGATATACCATGACCCTTAGATATGAAACAAGTGAGGATATTTGGACCTCATGCCATCCTCAGCTTCCCAGGTCACCTCTTCTCTATTTTGTTTCTCCACAATAATTTAACCGAAGCCACCTCTTTGGTCCTCAATTTACGGACCTGCCAATTTAATATGGCAACTGGAGTTTCCTCGTTGGACAACTCCTCTGTGATCTGAACATCCTCAACTGGGACAACCCAAGAAAGGTCTCCTACAAACTTCCGTAGAATAGATACATGGAAAACTGGATGAACAGATTCTAGCCCCGAAGGCAATTCTAACTCATAAGTCACTCGTCCTACCCTCTGAAGGATCCGGTATGGCCTAATGAATCTTGGAATAGGCTTCCCTTTTTTGCTAAATCTTATAACCCCATTCATAGGCGAGACTTTTAAGAATACCCAGTCATCGATGCAAAACTCTAAGTCCCTTCGTCGAACATCTGATTATGACTTCTGTCGGCTTTGAGCTATTAGCAACCTCTCCCGTATGAGCTTGACCTGCTCCACTGTCTGATGTACTAAGT